GTGTGCATGCAATTCAGATGCAGTTGTTTCATCGCAGTTCCAGTTACCTTTTGCAGAATTGAATTACAATGTTGCAGGCAGACGCATCAGAAGGAGAAACCATTTGGACCCTTTCATCTTGGCCCTCTTGTCTCAGCACATCTCGACACAACTCGTTATTTCCACCTTAACAACTGTGCAAACAGTGGCAACTTCCTAGCCAAAGGAGAGAATGGGAAAAGCGGCGCTTCTGGAGTCATGGCCCACTACCACTTAAACGTGAAGTATGGAACCAACTCAATACATTCTGTGCTCAGTTACACGAATTATGCAACAGTTAGTCGACATGATTAAGGATCAACATAAGTATGAGTAGTATGGCAACTAGTAGTTGGTTTGTGTTATTATCGGCTGATAAGGAACGGAAAAAAATCATACTAAACTGCTTATTTTGTGCCATGTGTGAATATTGCGTTCAACATTGTCAGTACTGCCAACGATCACTTGTTTAGATTGTATAAATGGCAAATATGTTACATTTAGACACACATAAAATGGAAGCTGGAAAGTGCATTTACCTCAATTTTTCTACCCTCCACCACAGTGCCGTTGAGGTGTTCACGCGCTCGGTCAGCCTCCTCCATGCTGGCGAAGGTCACAAAACCAAAGCCCTGATACAGACACATATCGGACACAGAAAGAAAAGGTGGAAGCAGATGAAGGGAATTTTTAGTGTGCAATTAATGCGCAGAGTGACAATGACACGGAGCTAGCTTGACTCGATAAATGGACCAAAGTAAAAAGCTTAAATAAAAAATATCACCACCAAAATAGCATTAGGTTGTAGTGGGAGATTGGCCAGAATCTTGCCGATGTTGGGTGTTGTTGATGAATCGGCGAAAAGTAAAAACAAAAATTCACATGCTGTAAAGGGATAATGTTCTGTCTGCAAATGAACCAAGGCGACGGTGTAAAAGCAAAAGGGAGCATGCATTTTAGCTTGGAAGAATGTTGCCACATTTTTTTATGACAAATGGTGATGCGAGAAAGAGGGCAATCAAATTTGGGGCATGGGGCCCTCCCATTTTCTGGAGGCATTGACACTTGACTGAGGTGTTGACAAGCAGAAAAATTGTTGGCTTGGCGGACTTCTTGAAGCTAGCGTTAATCCCGGTTTCTAGGCCCATCATTTGGATCGCTTTTTAAACCAGGCCCATTCAAGAGTGCTAATCTCCTCCATGTTGGCGAAGGTCACAGAACCAAAGCCCAGACACAGACACATATCGCACACAGACAGAAAAGGTGGAAGCGGATGATGGGAATTTTTAGTGTACAATTTCTGGGCAGATTGACAATGACACAATGTTGCATTTCGAACGAACTGGGGGATCTCAACTATGCCATCAAATGTGAATCAGG